CAACTGCCCCGATTCCCCAATTTCTCCACCATGCTTTTTCCACTCCAGGCTTTTGCACAGGCAGCTCCCTCTGTTTGGCACGCCCTCCCTACACCCCTTTATCTGACTATGTTCATCCTTCAGGTCTCATCCCCCAAGCATCCTCTCTGTCCTGCTTGGTAGTACTTATCCCTGTTGGCCTCCACCACTAGTCTGCTGTGCTCACCACTGTGTCCTCCACACCAGCAGGGCCTGGCACTAGAAAGTGCTCCATGCATTTTTACTGAATGGATGAATGTTTGAGTTAGGAAGGCCCTTATACATCCCAGTTTTCCTTTCCCTTCTCTGCCCATCAATTTCTAAATCTTATGTAAGAGGAAGAGGTACAGGTTAATATAGCTGGGAGAGAGCCAGATGTAGAATCCATCCATCCATCCATTCTTCCATTCACCCATTCATTCATTCAGACCACCATTTCTTGGGCATCTACACTGTGCTTAGGGCAGAGCATACAGAGATGAATACAGTCATCCTGCTTTCTAGAAACTCACAGCCTAGGGGAGGGAACAGACAGACACGGGTCACAGTTATGACATAGTTTAAGCTACACAAGACAGACCAGTGGCTCAAATGAGGTAAGTTACTTCACTCATGTGAGAGTCTAGGTTTCTCTGACAACTCAACTCCACAGAGTCACAAGGGGCCCAGATTCCTTCTGTCTCATTGCTCACTATATGCAGGAGTTGGAAGCGGAGCTGAGAAACAGGGCTGTGATGCCAGTGACCATAAAGCCTGGGAGAGAAATAAGGAAGAGTCTGTGATGCCTGGAGGAGATTCTGGTAGGCCCCCAGACCTGGCTTCCTTGGGTAAGGTTTCCCAGTTGGGGCTACTGTGTGGGAGAGTTGGACCTGTTTAAAGGACTAGGTGTGGAGAAGCTAGTGGGAGCAGAGAAATCCAGAAGGAAGAACAGATCGGAAAGAAACTAAGCAGGTGCAATCTATAGGATCTGATCCCAGCTGGATGCAGGGGGCAAGGGAGAGGAAGGAGACACACATCAGCCTGAGCCGCAGGACAATGCCTGTGCCCTCCACCAAGGGAATGAAAGCCAGATAGTGCTAGGGGAGCTGACTGTGAGGTGAGGTGGTGGGGGAGTGCCAAATGGAGCTGCCAGAGCAGCTGTGCATGGGTGAGAGATGCTGGGGGGGTGTGGGCTGTGGGATTTCATGGGAAAGTCATCACCAGAGACGAAAACGAGCTTCGGAGGACAAGTTCCCCCAACTGCCCTGTGGGCAGTGCAGTCACCTTGAATATATATCCCCATCCCTTGGGGAGCTTCTGTAAACTGGATGGGAACCTTACCTGTGCCCCTACTCCCACCGCAAAGAGATTCTGACTCGGTAACATGGAGTGAACCCCTCTCTGTGGCTCTAGGTTCTTTTACTTGCAAGAGAAGAAACCCAGCTCAAACAGGTTTGAACAAAGAGTCCTTAAACTGAAGAGTGCAGGCACGGATGAGCTTAAGCACAGTTTGATCACAGAGTTTAAATAACGCCTTCAGGAATCAGACTCTTTCCACCTCTGCTTGCCTCCTGTGTTGGTTTCATTCTCAGGCAAGATTTTTAAGTAACAGAGGCAAGATACCCTCTGTGGTTCAGTTCAGTCGCTCAGTCGTGTTCGGCTCTTTGTGACCCCATGGACTGCAGCACACCAGGCTTCCCTGTCCATCACCAACTCCCGGAGCTTGCTCAAACACATGTCCATCAAGTCGGTGATGCCATCCAACCATCTCAACCTCTGTCATCACCTTCTCATCCTGCCTTCAATCTTTCCCAGCATCAGGGTCTTTTCCAATGAGTCAGTTCTTCACATCAAGTGGCCAAAGTATTGGAGTTTCAGCTTCAGCATCAATTCTTCCAATGAATATTCAGGGTTGATTTCCTTTAGGATGGACTGATTTGATCTCCTTGCAGTCCAAAGGACTCTCAAGAGTCTTCTCCAACACCATAGTCCAGAAGCATCAATTCTTCAGTGCTCAGCTTTCTTTATGGTCCAACTTTCACATCCATACATGACTACTGGAAAAATCATATCTTTGACCAGATGGACCTTTCTTGGTAAAGTAATGTCTCTGCTTTTTAATATGCTATGTAGGTTGGTCATAGGACCTTTGTCGGCAAAGTAATGTCTCTGCTTTTTAATATGGTGTCTAGGTTGCTGTCTAGGTTGGTCAGCCCCCTGTGGTAGCTGATGCTCTTTCAGAAAGCCCTTTACAAAGAAATAGCATTCCTTTCCCAATCATTCCAGCCTGATTCTCCTTAGTCTGAACTTGGCCACAAGCCCATCTCAGGCCCAACCACTGTAGCCAAGGGAGATGGAGATGCTAATTGGTTAGATTAGCTCACATACCCTAGAGACAGGAATGGGGTCAACCCTGCCAGAGCCACAGAGACCCAGCTTGGCATCATTGGCAGGGTTTTAAGGTACAGAAAACGGGTGAAGGATGGACTTCCTGGCAGAGGGAACTGCAAGAGCTAATATGTAGAAGCAGAAAAACACAGAAAATACTTTAGAAACAGTGAAGCTTGTATGCACAGGGACATTTTCTTCTTAGCTCTCCATTCTGGTACCCACAGTATCTATTTTTATCTCAGAGTGTAATCATGACCACAGATTAAATTCAAACTCTTTGCACTAGCACTGAAAGTCTATCTTCTTGCTCCAAACAAGAAATCCTGTTTTCTAGAGAGGTTGATTAACTCCAGCATTAACAGAACACTGATCCAACGTTGACAGAGAATTCCCAAGTTTCCCTGAGTACCCGTGGATGCCTCAGGGTTCACACAGGTCATTTCTGAATGCAGAGTTAGCTAGGACTGCTGCCCCCTCCCCCTTCAGTTCCCAATCACAGAGGCTGCCCCAGCCCCCATATCTTTTAGGATTCACTGCCTTGGCATTCCTGAGGGCCCCTAAAGTCTTGAAAGGGAAAACATCAGCTTGTGCAATAAGAAAGGGAAGAAACTACTCTCCTAGTTCCCTTCCTCCATGTTCCTTACCCTTGCAGGGGGTTGGGAGGTTGGTGATGTGGAAGGGGAACCAAATCTACATCCCTGGCTGCTGCTGCTGCTAAGTCGCTTCAGTCGTGTCCGACTCTGTGCGACCCCATAGNATCTACATCCCTGGCTGCTGCTGCTGCTAAGTCGCTTCAGTCGTGTCCGACTCTGTGCGACGCCATAGGCGGCAGCCTACCAGGCTCCTCCGTCCCTGGGATTCTCCAGGCAAGAACACTGGAGTGGGTTGCCATTTCCCCTGGCATGTATCTCTTAGTGTCCGACTCTGTGCGACCCCATAGGCGGCAGCCTACCAGGCTCCTCCGTCCCTGGGATTCTCCAGGCAAGAACACTGGAGTGGGTTGCCATTTCCCCTGGCATGTATCTCTTAGTGCAGAAATTCTCTAGCGCCCTCTGGTGGTCACTAACACTACTGTGTTCTCTCGGGGTTTATTCTGAACAGCCCAATTGAGATATCCATCACAGGGTAAGGCAACAGGCACACTTACCCCATATCCCATATTTAGGAAATGCTAGAGCTGGGACGGACCCAAAGCTCCTGGCCACCAGTCCTTTCTTCAGCATCACTTTCTATCTGCGGCATCACTTTCTATCCCTGTAGTTCTCCCTAGTGGCTAACTGACCTGGCAGGCAATGTTATAACATTTATTATTTATGATGTAAGTACTTTATTACTGTGTTGCTCTATTAAATACACCTGCCACACTTTGAGGTGTGCCATGATACTGGATTATATGTTAGTATTGATCAGGTAAATATATAAAATGTACAGTTGGCAACCCTGTTATTCTAAAATTGAATCACAGAAATGCTCCTGTCACCATACCCACTACCCACCTCTGTTTTACATTTCAGGAACCAGTCTTTTATCCCCCCATCCCTTCTGGATGTTCCTGGGAAGTAAGCTTTCTCCATAAACTCAATCCCACCACCTCCTCATTGGCAGGAATGTCAAGAGGTGCAAGGAGATAAAGTCTCTTTGGGATACAAATGTTACTTAAAATGGGAGAGGTGACAAGAGAAGAAAGGAAACTACAAAATGGCCTTCAGGCAGCTTTCTCTACTGGACCACAGGAAATGATAGCGGAAGGGAGCCAAGGAGAGAAAGGCTCACCTTTAATGGCTGCAGTGGTTGGGGCGGGCTGGTCTGACAGCGGAGGGCTGGAATGAGTCTCAGACCCACAGCAGACAAGAAGAGGAGGGGTCAGGACCGGCAGGTGGGACGATTGGCTGGTCTATTGGATACCCTGAAATAACCGTCTGCTCAGCTTGTATTCACCTGTACCTGGTTCTGAAAGAGAGACAAGGGCACCAGTTCTGCTGCCCCACCCTCCACCCCAGAGGGTTGACCTTTCACCCCAGAGTAAAGCTGTGATTGGTGAAGTGAGCCCCACCAAAGGCTGTGGGGCAGCTGGAGGTGCTGAGCAGAGTCTGGGGAGGAAGAGAGGGGATGCGACATGACAGGGGGTGCTCAGCAGCAGCTGAAGGGAATCAGACAGTCCTGCTCAGGAGATAGACATCCATCTAGATCCCTGACAGTAACTCAACTAGGTTCCTTGGACAATCACAAAGACTGGCTGTGCTGACTTGTCAGAAAGCAGAGTGATGCCTGGACCCTTAACTTAGCAGGCAGGCAAAGAGGACCCTCCATGTGGATTGGGAGAAAGGGGGAGAAGCAAGCCCCAGCTCCGCTTCCTGCCTATAAATAATTCCAAGTGTCACTTCAAAGGGGACCGGGAGCGCCGGAGAGGGGCTCCCGTGGCCGTTGGGTTGGGGCAGCAGGTCCTGCACACCACGCCCCCCACCCCGGGCGAGTTTGCATAAATAAACAAATCCAAGCCGTCGGCCCCGCAGGAGGTGGAGGAGGAGAGGGGAGGAGGAGAAGGGAGGGGGGCGGGAGAGATTAGTTTGGGAAGTAGCACGGATTGCTCATCCGATCCGTGCAGCCGCAGCTCGTGTGTCAAGTTACAGAGGCGCCGGAATCGGCCCCAGCGCTCCTCGGCAGCGGCCACGACCCACCTCTGCCCATGGGGCCCTCCATGTGCACCCCTTCGTCCCGGGACTGAAACTGGCTCGCCCGGGCGACGGGAAACACCAAGAAGGACAGACAGTGCTGAACCAACTCCGGACTGCAGATACTTGAAGGGACAGAAGGGGCAGAAAGGAGAGCCGGCCAGATTTCCCTAACTTTCCTGGACTTGGAACGTTCTTCGAAGCAACTTTTTTTTTTCACCTGGGTGTACCCCCCGATCACTGCTGGTTGTATTTTTTTTTTTTTTTTTTGCTCCCCCCGCCCCCCCTCCAGCTGCTATTTTTTCCATCCTCTTTGCCGAGAGCAAAGGAAAGGGACATTTTTCCAGCGACACAAGCCTTTTCCCCCACTGCCCCGGAGCTTGAGATCGCGTTTTGGGGCAGCGGCTCTCGCCTTTATTTATTCTATTTATTTATTTATTGGTTCTCAAGACGCGAGGGGATGGTAGCGGAGCGCTCCGGCAAAGCGACAGCCGCCGGTGTCCGCGGCCCTGGGGAGCTGGGCGCACCCGGGACAGTGGCTCTGGCGGTGGCGCCGGCGGAGCGCTGTGCTCGGCTGCCGAGCCCTGGGTCGTGCGGGCTGCTGGCGCTGGCTCTCTGCTCGCTGGCGCTCAGCCTGCTCGCCCACTTTCGGACGGTCGAGCTGCAGGCCCGGGTCCTGCGCCTGGAAGCGGAGCGTGGGGAGCAGCAAATGGAGCCGGCTATTTTGGGACGAGTCAACCAACTGCTGGATGAGGTCTGTGCTCTTTGTTGCTGCCTTTTATTCCCTCCCCGCGGCGCCCCCTCGCGCAGCCTCCAAACTTTGGACCAGCCAGTGCCCGTGGGCTCTCTCTCCGCCGCGCGGTGCGCCCTGGCCTCGCCCCAGTTGTTTGAGGGAGGGATGGGGCCAGGGACGGACGCTGCCCTGCCAGTGGGCAGGAGGACCTGGGCGGCTAGCGCCAGACCCCTCGGCTCCCGCCTAGAGCAGGCGTCCTCCACGTTCCGCGCCGGGAGCGCCCTGAGCGCGCGGGGCAGGTGGAGGAAGGCTAGGCGCGGAGGCGCGCAAAGGCGGCCAGGTCCATTTCTCCCTCCCGGCTCCTCGCCAGGGCGGTGTGAGAGCCGCCCAGCGCCCACGCGGCGGGACTTGAGCCCGGTGGCCCCGGGCCGAGGCTTGCTGGGCTCCCGCAGCCCTCCCCATCCATCCCTCGACGATCAGTGCTGCCTTTTATTGCCATATTCTGTTGGGAAGAGAGAGGAGTGAGTTATCCCAGGGGCTGAGGGGGACAGGGAGCAGTCCTTGCAGGAGGTGGTGGGCTGGTCTCTGCCCAGACCGCTGGGGCCCAGGTGTTGGTTGTTTCGGTTCTGCTGTCCTTGGGCACAAATAAGCCCTTACGGTCTTGTTCTGAAGCTGTATTTGTTGTCCCTGGTCCCCTGGAATGGCCCCCAACATTTTGTGTCTGTGTGTCTTTTGGGGAAAAGGATGCCGAGCTTTCTCCCATTCCCAAAATATCCTTGAACCTCAGTGTGTTAGAAGCCACTAGTGTCTCTTAGCCAGGACAATCCTGAGAGTCATGAAGAGACCCACAGTCCACAGAAAGTAGGGACACACAGTCTCAGGGGTGCCACCCGACTAGCGACTGGCCAGGAGACCATGAGGCCAGGTGACATCTGAGGATGTGGACAGCTCCGGAGACCCAGGGCCTTGTATGAGGGGAGGATCCACAGATAAAGGCCACGGCCGTCTGGGAAGAACTCCTGGAACAGGCTGACCATGGACAGTTTCCGAGGGGAAGAACTGGGGGTGCATCTCTTCCTTAGTAGGAGGTGGTGTGTGAAACAGTGAAGAGCAGGAGGTAGAGCCCAGCTTTTATCCCCACTCTGCTACTTAGAAGCTGTGCCACCTGAGGCAAACACCCTAACCCCTCTGAGCTCCACTCTGCCATCACAGTGGTGGTGCTGATGGTAAACGGGAGAGCCCAGCTCTAACTGCAGCTGTGCCGTGGCCATACTGGCACGATGCCCCAGTACCCCACAGCCAGGCTCTTCTCGGTGCCTCTACCAGGCAAAGGCTGGCACTTGCCAAAGCAGCCCTCCAGGGCAATCGCGGAGAGCGAGGTCAGAAGGCCAGAGCAGAGCAGGTTTACTGATGCCAGAGGTGCACCCGTGACTGCTGCCGTCAGCTCATTCCCACGCCCTGCCGGGCCCCAGGGAAGCCGGAGGGCTCCGTCAAGCCACCCACGGTCCTCTGGGACTCTGGGGGGAAGCCGGTGGACTCCGCAGTGCCGGCAGACGGCCTGTGCTGGCTGGTTGGCAGTGCAGAGGGAACTGCTGCGTGGTAGGGAGGGTGTTGGGACGTGAAGGCTGCCTCAGGTATCCCCGGGGTCCTGGCTGCTGAGGGACAAACATCTGACCCGGAGTGTCCTGCTCAGTTCCTCTCTCCATCGTCTCCCCTTCCTGGCCCCTCCTGCTGGCCAGGGCGTGTCCCTGCCCTTTCCTCAATCCTGGCTTCCTCTGCTTAAGACTTAGCTAGGTCACGTCTCATGCTCTGAGGACCTTGGGGCTGACAGTGTTATTATCTGCCAGGCTGAGCCTTCCTGTCTAAACTTCTACTGGCTGTCAGACCCCCATGTTACAGATGGGGGAACCAAGACTCAGAGTGGGGCAGTAGATTTCCCAGGGTCACGTGGCGAGATCCTAGACTAGAGGATGCTTTCAGGGACTCCGCCCCCAGTGCTCTCCCCAGGCTGTCTGCCACCTTCCATTGTCTGCCCTCATGCACTTATTCCCAAAGTGAACCTGAGAGCCAGCTGTGAGTCAGGCGTTGTGGGGCGGGGGGCACATTTCTGCCCTCTCAAGCTTACAGACAAATAGGACACAGAGAAGGGAGTGGACAGTGACCACATCATGCGGAAAAGGCTATGAGAATGAAAGCGGAGGAGGTCCAGGGCTCCTGACGGCGGTGGCTCCCTGGGAGAGTGATTTTTCATGTGAAGACTTACAGGGTGACTAGGAGGTTTCCAGGCAAATGGGGATGAGGATGGGGCAAAAGGAACAGCTTCTGGAAGCTGAAAACCAGAGAGAGAGACAGGTAGCCGAGGTCAAGAGGGGCCTTAGAGACACTTTGATCTTTGTAAGAGCGATGGGGAGCCATGGAGGGGTCTTGAGGAAGGCAGTGATGTACACGGAATGAGATGAAGAGCCAGGTAGAGCAGGGACGCCAAATAGGAGGTTAGTATGGACCAGCGAGGACAGTGACCTGGCCAGGGGCACTTGTGGAGACAGAGAGGAATGAATGGAAATGGCAGCATCAGTGGTGGGACCTGAGGTCAGTAGCAGAGGGCGTTGGGACAGGGGGAGGGAGCGGTCCTGTGGGGGAGGGGGCAGGTGACCTGGTCTACATGGCGATGACCTCAGGAGCCCTCTCCTGGAGGGGCCTGCAGGCCAGTGGCTCTGAAAGGGACTCTCTCAAGGCGGCACTGTCCCGTATAGTAAGCACTAGTCACATGTGACTCATTAGACTTAAGTTAATTAAAATTAAATAAAATCTAAAATGTAGTTCCCCAGTCACAGTAAGCCACCTTTCATATAACTGCTCAATAGATACCTGAGTGGCCAGAAGGCAGGACAGTGCAGCCTTAGAATGTGGGCGTCACCGCGTAAAGATCCATGGGATGATGCTGTGCTGGGAGCAGGCAATGTCTGGGCCAGCAAAGGTGTTCAGGAGCACCCCCACGTTTTCCTCTCCTCCACTCTTTCCTCTCCGTGGTCTCTTCTCCCAGGTCAGAACAAAGAGCAGAGTGAGGAGAAAGGTGAGAACTGGGTCCAGTGGAAACTCCCAGGTGAGGACAGGGGGATGGTTTTGCTGTGGAATGAGTCTGTGAAATGGGTATGCAGAGGATTCCTGCCCACGAGGGCCCAAAGGCACCCCGTGTGCCAGGATTCCAGCTGGGCCTTGCCAGTCGTGTGGCCTCAGGCAAGCCACGTTACACGCCCTCACCTCATATCCCTTCTCTGTGAAGCCCTGGCCCTGCCTTCCTCTTGGGGCTGCTGTGGGGCTCTCAGGAGATGGCAGATGGAACGTTGCACTAAAAGGTATCACCACATCAGGTCACAAGTGCTTCTGGAGAGCTCCCCGGAGCACGGGGCAGACAAAGGCAATCCATTCTAGAGCCGGTGAGCCTGGGTCACTCCCTGGAGGATGGAGGAAGGGCTGTGGGCAGGGCCGTGCTGGGGAAGCACACAGCCTGGGCAAGGGCCTGGAGGCAGGGGTCCAGGGGCACATGCTCACCACCCACCCCAGTGGGGAAATTAGCATGCTGGGGGTGGAGGCGTGTCTGGGAGACAGGAGGAAGGGGAAGGCCAGGCTGAGGGGACTCCACAGGAGAGAAGCCTGGAGTGAGGGGAGGCAAGGGCAGATGTGAGCAGAGGCTTCGATCTGAGTGATCTGAGCTGCTGGGAGGGGGGTGGGTCGCGGCCAGGAGAGGAGTGTGGGAGTTGGGAGTGTGGCTTCCAGACCGCAGCTCCAGCTCTGCCCCCACCAGCGCCTCTCTCCCAGTCCGGGACCCGTAATGAGCGCTCCAGCTGCCTGTTAGTTGATTTGCTTGCTGTGAGAAAAAAAAAAAAAAAAGGAACGTCCCAAATGGAGGAAATCAGATGTCACCTAGGGCTGGGCAGACAGTGTGCGATGACAGAGAAGAGGGTGGAATTTAAACTTGCCAAATCCATTTTACAGGCTGAGGGGCAGCAGGGGGGTGTCAGCCACCTTCAAGGTGAATGCTGAGGGAGGCCAGGCTGATTCCCCTTCCCCAACCATAAGAGTAACAGCAATTCTGATAGGAGGGTCTTGTGCTTGTAGGGTATGTACAATGGCCAGTGCCTTGCACATTATCTCTCTCAATCCTCATGACTTCCCTAAGGATTGACATCTCATTACCCCCATTTTACAGATGAGAAGACTGATATCACTGTACCTCCATCCCACTGTCTCTGATTCAGTCCTTTGGGTATTGATGGCATTTTCCACTCCAAGAATCCCCTGGGAGAGGAAGTGGTTGAAATTTCCAGGCTAAAATGTCGAGGAACCCCAGGCAGACTCTTTCATCCCTAAAAATAATAATAACAACCCTTACAAGAGGAAAGCCTCACATTTATAGTGTGTACAGGAGCCCCTAACTGAACTCTTTCCAGGGGCATTTGGAGGAGAGATCAAAGCAGTGGCTGAGAGACTGGGGGCCTGGATGGGGTCCTTTGGGAATGAAGCACTGAGATGGGGCAGGAGCAGGCTCTTAAACAGAGAATGTGTATGTGGCGAGAACTGTGTAGTGTCCTGTGAGCATCCCGGGTGCCTGGGCCTCAGTTAATGGACAGACCTTAGATCCAGGTGTCCTCAGATGCAGCCAGCACTCCCCTGAGTCAGTCTTAAAGCTACCCCTCTTTTCATGCTGTGGATAAATGACTAGCCTTAAATGACTAGTTTTAATAGAGGAAAGACCCTTAGAGACCCTCACTAGTCTAGTCCCCTCACTCTACTGATGAGAAAACAGGTCCAAAGCTTCACACCAGGCATCAGATGAACCTGGAGGTAGGACCTCCGTCTCCAGCAGGCATCTCTCTTCCACACCACACCTTCTCCTTTCTGGACAATAGTATTTGTCTGGCCAGCTGGTGGCCAAGACAAGGCAAATGTGTGCTTCAGTCTCCACTTCTTGGCCCTCAGTAAACATTATTAATCACTTGCCACACACTTTCTCACTGATC